CGCGCCGCCGCCCCGCAACACTATCTACTAATAAGAACTGATTCAAGACAAGATAAAACAAGACAAATAAGAAAATTTTGCTCACTTTTCTTCTTGTCTTTCCACGTTCGAGGTTGAAATGGGGTCAGAGAGCTAGTTAATTAATTAAAAACTTTATTTTTTCCCCAATTATTTCGAATTGTAATTGGTTTCTTATTTGTGATAATTTGTGCTTCAATATTATGTTTAGACGATAAGATGGTGTCTGGGATTTGAATTTTTTGGACATATTGGAAGAAATACATGACATGCATACAGGAGGACAGGCTACATAGCATCCTCTTCATGTGTATATTTTTTTCTTTGGTAAAAATTTCAAATCGTTGTGGAAAAAATAATTCCAGTTACATAATTGTTTAAGAATCTGCCAAAGGTTTAGATTTCACACATTTGATTATGGATCTGGAGTTGATTTTGGAGTTTGGACAATGGAAGCGGAAAGGGAAGAAAAAAAAATTGCTTTCCCAAATGATTAAGGGTAATTTTGGTATTGGATCAATTTTCTGTTTTGGATGCTAATTATTGTTTTGGTAGAATCACGAGCCATTAATTTTATTACAGTGGGGAACTTAATCCTGAAGAGAATCTGAAACCCCCTTTTGAAACTGCCTTAGTTCAAGAAAGGTTGACAATTAAATCATTTAAATCATACTCTTACGGGAAAACATACTTAGACAAATTTAGACAGAAACCAGTTTGATTCAATGTAGCCAACAGTTGCTCTGCAAGTAAATTGGGAACTTTTTCAACCAAAAAAAAAAAAGAAAAAGAGTAAATTGGGAACTTGTACCAAATCCATAAAGTAGCTTGTAACAATTTAATAGATTGTCTCATTTTTCTGGGCCCGATCCATACATCAATCAGTTAATTTGGTAGGCCTATCCTTATCTTGGGCCAGATAATGAAAATGTATTTGAAAGCTAAAGCCTAAAAACATATAAATCTAGGATTTATTGTTCGGGAATACACTAAAATTTGCACAGAATATGTTCTCCATTCTTACAAGTTTTTAGACCAATTTTTTAGGAATATTTGGATTGAGGGTAGTAGAAAATAAATAAATAATAAAGAGAGTAGCACTCTTAATTTATTTTTTTTTTATGAGGTGGTTAGAAGATTAGGATGGGGAATGGTTTAAATAATTTGTATTAGGAGCATAATAATTCAACTATACTGACATGACTTTAGCACTTGAAATAATTTTTTTTCATTATATTTCCCATAAATTAAATTTATTTTTAAAGTCATATAAATGATAATATTCAAATATTATAATATATAAAACTTAAAACTACTTGATGAAATTTTATATTTATATTAACTTAAAAAATAAAGGTCCTTGTGATGAAAGGAATGTTATTTTTAATGTTGATTTCTTTAAATAAAAATTTTTTTTACGCTTTTTAAGTGGACTTTGAAATTTTCTAGTTTCTTTTTTTTTCCTAACTCATGCTTAAATAAGCCAAAACAACACATATTATAAGAGTTTAGTCATATATTTTGCATTCTATGTTAGTGAAAACTTGTAAATTTAGTCGAGAAATATAAATATATGTGAGAATACATAAATGTGCGTGAAAATTTTGTATCTTTGAGTTTTTTAGTCTAGAAATATATATATATATATATATATATATATATATATATATATATATATACACACACACATACATACGTAATTGTTTCAAGCACTTTAGAATTGTTATATCAATCATATGCACATAAATTTTTTTTAATATAATAAGCTTCCACAGTATCTAAATTAATGTAATTATAAGTATTTTACAAAGTTGAAGTCATGTTTGTTGATTAAATAATTATACACTTAATATAAACTATTCAAAAGTACTTTCCTTCATTAATTTTTTTCCCCACCCTCTTTCATCCAAATTTTCTATATATATATATATATAATTACCAATCATAAACTCGAATTCGTCACTTAATCAAACATTTTGCATGTAGCTTCATTCCACATCTGGGGTTTAAGTATTTTCCTTAGAAAGAACAAAATAAATGTTCTTGCATATACTAAAAAATTAAAAAAAGTACTTATTTTCAGTTATATTGATTAATGATTTCACTTAATAAACCAGATCAAGTGGGTGGATTTAGGAGATCTGAAGGGTTTGGTTCGCATGCATTCAATGGAGGATTTCATCAATCTATAACAAAGGGATAGCCATGATCTATTCTGGCGTTATTCTTTTGATCATCATCTAGGCCAGATTGATTACAACGAACCAGTGTTCTACAATTGTAACCTCCTCAATGATGCAACAAAGGGATAGCCATGATCTATTCTGGCGTTATTCTTTTAATCATCATCCAGGCCAGATTGATTACAACCTAGATGAACTAGTATTCTGCAATTGCAACCTCCTCAATGATCCAACTCGTCTGATGGTTTGTTGTGATGAGTGCCATCAATGATTCCATTGCGAATGCATAGGTGTTAATACAGACGAAGTAGAACAGAAAGATTATCACTTGGGATGCCAAGGTCATGTAGCAACATAGCATTTGTTAGTTATATTTGTTTGAGCTCCGTCAATTTTGCTTCTACTTTCTCTTTCAGCTGGGACAACAGAGAATTGAAGTTTTCTTTTTATTTTTTCCTTTTTCTTTTGTAAAGAAGATTTTAACTATAAAACAAAAAACTAAAAAAAGGACTAAGGTTTATGAAAACTGGATTATACTTTCGTTCTTGTAATTTTCACCACACTTACAAGTGATGTATCATGACAAATACAAATAATTTTAATAGCAACTACCCAATATAATCTAATCAATCTGATCATCACAAGAAGATGATAATAGCTACTCAGTTTCAATTATAGAAAGATGAACGTGATGCTAATAATGTTGTTGTTTGTGATTAGCTGATGCTACTTCTGCTCTGAACAGAAGGTGAAGTTATAGATTTACAAGAGTGAATTGCCCTTTAACTGCCTTAAAACTAAATACATTTATTTTAATTTTGAGCTTGACTCCTTCTCACTCCGAACTGCCTTATTAGTTATTACACCTCATACTCATAGACTTGGTGTTAAACTCTGAATTTGAATCCTCATCTTTAAAAGGGACATTGTCTCCCAACTACTTTCAGTTGCTTCTCGGTTTGGTAGATTACAAAGTTTGCTTCTTCGTGTCGATTTCATATCTCTCCTTTCCTTGTCTTCCTTTACATACTTCTCTGCCTCCTAGACCATCGTATCCACTTGAACAATTTCAAGGCAACCGAATTAATAAACCACAAAAAAAATTAAAGAAAGAAAATTCTCAAGGCAACCGAATTAATAAACCACAAAAAAAAATTAAAGAAAGAAAATTCGTTTTGAGACAAGATAAACTACAATAATAACAATCCATGGAAAAACCTAAACACACAGTGGACTTCATTTCAGATATCAGTTTATATAGCCAATAAGTGAAATCATTTGAAATTAAGAAAGGCATGTTAGACATTGCACTAGAGGGCAAAATTCTTAAGCACTCCAACATGAAGTTTCACAGAAATGGTAATTGCATTCATAAAATTGCTGATAATTCTAGTTCTACAATCACAAAGTGGAAAAAAAGAAGAAAGAATCCATGAGTCTTTAGATCGCTTAATTGTAAAATTGCAGGCAAAAATGCAGAAGCATGGAGATCATGTTGCATCTGTTCGTCAACATCTTGCACGAGAAAAGAATAGGTGGCCGAGTTCTTGCCCAGATACTTTGTAGATAAACATAGAGTTTCTTCAGCGTTGTATATCCCCTGCTGTACATTTACTATGCCTAATGTTGTCTATTGTTCCATGTTCGTAAATACTTTACGTTCACTCAGAACTCAAGATTGATGATTGAGTTTTACCTATGATCTTCTGGGAAAACATTACAGAGGCGGGATTAATTTGTGAATTTAAGACCCATTAGAGGAAACTTAATCCTAGGAATTCTTGTTCCGGAAAGCACTAAAAAATTTCCATAGAATACGTTCTACATTTTTTTTCTTTTTTTTTTAGGCCAAAAGAAAAAAATGTTTAAATTGATTGGAAAAGTGAAATGATAAGGTATAAGGGAAAATGGTAGAAAGCTAGACTAATATTCAAACTTGATGCAACTATATGAGCAAATGCAAGTGAGAATAAAAGTAAGTCTTAGCAAATGATGTCCAAAACCTCCCAAAAAGTCAAAAATAGAAAGAAAAAGAGAAAGAAAGCAACAGATTCTTCGACCAAAAAAAAAAAAAGAAAGCAACAGATTCTGATGATTATTTATGAAAATTGAACATCCCTGCACCCAATGCTTAATTAATTTGCATCTTCTGCTTCACAAAACTTGGTGAATTGATCTGAGTCTAGCAATGTGGTTCAGCTCATCTTTGTTCCTTACCTCAACCTTCATTATCCGTCCATCTTCATACGGACTACCATTGATCAATCCAGGAGAATCATTTAGCACCTCATTAACTTCAACTACTTTTTCCGAAACAGAGAGTACAAACAAAATGTTCAAAGAGGTGGACAAAAAGCCGGGGAAAAGAAAAGTAGTATGAACTAGGCAGCTTTGGCCTACAAATCAAACGTGGCCGGTGGTGATAGACTGAGAAAAAGCCAAAGGATGGGGAAAAAAGGATGTTCATCTTTGTCAAAAGCCAAGTAATCCACCCCATGTTTCACTCATCCCTTCATCATCATTCCATGTTATTCATCAAAATTTTTCCCCAACATTGTAGTCTTTGATTGATTGCAATCTCTTCCCCATCCCGAGGTAATTTGTGTAATGTATTGATATGGTAATGAGCTGTGGTGACTGATGATGGTTCTCTTAAAAAAAAATAAAGAGAGAAAAAGGGCAGCAAGAGAATCTTCTGCTAAAGGGAAAAATGCACTAACAAACGAATAGAAAATAATTTAAAAGCCGCAGGATTGCATGCATTTACTTTTGAATCACCATCATGTTCATAGCCACCCCAAAAAAAATTCAATAAATACAGTGAAAATAAATAGAACCCATATTGATGATGTAGATTTATACCAAAATAGAGGTTTGATAATTCAAGTAGGAATCTTGGAAAAGGGTAATGTTATCTTGAGAAGTTAAATAAGAGAAACGGACTAAAAATGCACATTTTTGCTGCTTGCACATGAAGTTTAGCACCTCTGCTCTTCCCATCCCTCTCCTCTACTTTTTTCCTTCTTTTTTACCGTCCAACTAAGAATCCCACTATTTTCTCTCCGATCATTATCATCAAATTCAATCCCTTTATCAAGCTTTCAACATGTGAACACAAAATTAACCTTTCTTAGTTTCTCCAACTTGCAATTTCCTCTGTATACAAACAATTCCCTCCATCCAAAAAGTCCTTCACAAACTTGCACCAGCCCAATGAGCTTTCCCTTCAGTACTATTTCCATCAAATTCTTACTAATTAGCTACCATTTTTAGTGCTTTTTTTTTTTTTTTTGTTGGAAAGATAGAAATGGGTACTGTGAGGAAACTCATTGTAGAGGTAATTGAGGCACGTAATCTTTCACCCAAAGATGGACATGGGACGTCTAGTCCTTACGCAATTTTCGATTTTTACGGTCAGAGAAAGAAGACCAGGACTGTGATTCGTGACCTGAATCCTGTATGGAACGAGACACTCGAGTTCAACGTTGGTAAACCATCGGACGTGTTCGGTGACATGCTGGAACTCGATGTTTTTCACGACAGAAACATCGGACCCACGACCCGGAATAATTTCTTGGGCAGGGTACGATTGAGTTCGCGGCAGTTCGTGAAGAAAGGTGAGGAGGCATTGATTTATTATCCCTTGGAGAAGAAGAATTTCTTGAGTTGGATTCAGGGTGAGATTGGCTTGAAGATTTATTTTGTCGATGAAGTCGTACCGCCGCCAGCACCACCCCCCCCTCCGACTCCACCGCCTGAGGAGGCCAAGTCTGAGCCTACAGAATCAGCTGCACCACCTGCTTCTTCTGATCCACCACCAGGGCCACCTGAAGGGAATAAACCGGCGACTGAAAAGCCAGACGGAGCAGAACCCAGTAAAGATATTCCTCCTCCAGCAGAAGAGGCTATCAAAACAAAAGAAGAAGAAGAAAAGCCACCAGCTCCGCCAGCAGAAGCCGCATCACCACCACCGGAAAAAGATGCTGCTAATGAGAAACACGAAGAAACAGAATCTGATTTGCCGGAATCTCCAGAAGAAGGAAGCAATCCGGTGGAGCTAAATCCACCAGTACAAATGGATCACATGATGGCATCAATGGCGTCAGGATCCATACCCGATATCAAAGTCAATCACATCAGCGGTCCGCGGCCCATAAGCCGTGTCTCATCTGTGAGCAGCTTCATGTCGGATGTTTCAGACAGAAGCACAATCGAACGGTCCAACTTCGATCTCGTCGAGAAAATGCATTATCTGTTCGTCCGGGTGGTCAAGGCCCGATCTCTTCCAACAGCGGGTCGACCCGTCGTGAAGATCCTGGTTTCCGGCAGCCACGTCATCTCGAAACCCGCCCGGAAAACGACGGTGTTCGAGTGGGACCAGACGTTTGCTTTCAGCCGCGACGCACCGGATTCGTCTTCCATCTTGGAGATCTCCGTGTGGGACCCAATGCACGCCATGTCACTCGGCGGAGAATCCGACGTGGCGGGGCATAACTTCATGGGTGGGATTTGCTTTGACGTGAGTGAGATCCCACTCAGGGATCCACCTGACAGTCCCTTGGCCCCACAGTGGTACAGGCTGGAAGGAGGTGGGGCTCACAAGGGGGATCTCATGCTTGCCACGTGGATAGGAACGCAGGCTGATGAATCATTCCCTGAAGCCTGGAAAACAGAGACCGCCGGCAATCCGAATTCCAAATCAAAGGTTTACCAATCGCCTAAATTGTGGTATCTCCGAGCAACAATTCTCGAAGCTCAAGACATTTTTCCATTGACACCTTCTTCAAGAGAATCATCATTTACCATCAAAGCTCAATTGGGTTTTCAAGTACAAAAAACTAAATCCGCCGTTTCAACCAACGGATCTCCGTCGTGGAATGAAGATTTAATGTTTGTAGCGGCGGAGCCGTTTACAGAGCATTCTCTTATGTTCTTCCTAATCGAAACCCGGCCGCGGAAAGAACAAGTTATGCTCGGAGTTGCTAGCATTCCCCTGACTTCCATTGAGCGGCGGGTGGATGACCGGAATGTTGTTTCCAGATGGTACACATTTGAAGACGGAAAAGAGATCAAGAGAATTTACAAAGGGAGGATCCACTTGAAGTTGTGCTTTGATGGTGGATATCATGTTATGGATGAAGCCGCCCATTTATGCAGTGATTATCGTCCAACAGCCCGGCAGCTTTGGAAGCCGCCGATTGGGGTGGTGGAATTGGGAATCATTGGGTGCAAGAATTTACTTCCGATGAAAACAATTAGCGGGAAGGGATCAACGGATGCATATGCTGTGGCGAAATATGGTACTAAATGGGTCCGAACCCGGACGATTTCTGATTGTTTGGACCCGAAATGGAATGAGCAGTATACTTTCAGAGTCTATGATCCATCAACGGTGTTGACTGTTGGAGTGTTTGATAGCTGGGAAGTACTTGAATCGGCCGACGGTTCGAAAGAGTCAGTGCGTCCTGATTTCCGAATTGGGAAAGTCAGGATTCGTATTTCTACCTTGGCCACTTCCAGGGTGTATAGAAATACGTTTCCCCTGTTTTTGTTGTCTAATTCAGGGCTGAAGAAAATGGGGGAGATTGAATTGGCGGTGAGGTTTGCCCGATCCACTCCCACGTTGGATTTCTTGCATGTTTATTGGCAGCCATTGTTGCCGGCGATGCACCATATCAAGCCGCTTGGGATGGTCCAACAGGAAGTTTTGCGGACGACGGCGGTGAAGATGGTGGCGGCTCATTTATCGCGGTCCGAGCCCCCGCTTCGCCGGGAGGTTGTGACTTATATGCTTGATGCCGATTCACACGCGTTCAGCATGAGGAAAGTACGTGCCAACTGGTTCAGGATCATCAATGTGGTTGCCGGAGTGATTGACGTGGTGAAGTGGTTGGACGACACGCGTTCCTGGAAGAACCCGACGGCTACCCTTCTGGTGCACGCGCTGCTGGTGATGCTGGTCTGGTTCCCTGACTTGATCATCCCAACTCTGGCCTTCTACGTGTTCGTCGTCGGCGCGTGGAACTACCGGTTCCGGTCCCGGGAATCGCTGCCGCATTTTGATCCGAAAATCTCGCTGGCGGAATCCATCGACCGGGATGAGGCCGACGAGGAGTTCGACGGGATGCCGTGCACCAGGGCGAACGAGGTGGTGAGAGCCAGGTATGATAAATTGAGGATGCTGGGTGCACGTGTCCAGACGATATTGGGTGATTTTGCCGCGCAAGGGGAGCGAGTCCAAGCTCTGGTGACGTGGAGGGACCCACGTGCGACCGGAATGTTTGTCGGGTTGTGCTTGGTGGTGGCGGTCATACTGTGTTTGGTGCCGTCGAAGATGATTGCTATGGCGTTTGGGTTTTATTACCTCCGGCATCCAATTTTCAGGGACAGGATGCCGTCGCCGGTGCTCAACTTCTTCAGAAGACTGCCTTCTCTCACGGACCGAATGTTATAAATAGGCTTTCAGCTATTGTGGTCTTGTGCTTCTTCACGTTTGATAAGAGCGGTGTTTTCACCCCAGTGAGAAACATCCCATATTTTGTTGATAAAATGCGATTTCTTTCTACGAAAATGAAAAGAAAATGTAAGGAAGGAACAAGAGTTCAATTAATAACAAATCCATCACAAACCTTTCTTATTGGTTTATTCGGGGTCTCGAATTAAACCAAACTTTTTGTGGTGATAGGAATGCAAAATGGTCAAAGTTTCTTGTGATCGGAATCAACACGTATCATCAATATTAATACAAATATTTTAACCTAAAACTGATAAATGAATCTAATTGGATAATTTATTAGACACGAATTAACTATGTGGACAATATGAGAATATGACTTAGATATCATCACAGAAGATATTTTGCCTCTCTATTTGAAGAATGTGTTTATAAAATGATTTTTCTCCTCGAAATTCTTTGTCGTCTTTTACTCAGAATTCGTAGGTCTGTCCCTAAATCTCTCTCGTTATTATCAATATAAGACTACATCCTTCAAGATTCAGACACTAGAAATGGCTCGGGAGTAATGGGCTCAATGCCCAATTTGGTTCTTGATTGTGGTTTTCCTGTGGACTGGTCCCTGCCAGTCCAATTGGAATCTTATAAAGTGAAAGTGGTGCCTTGGTCCCTGCCAAACAGGCTAGTTTATTGTGAGTGTATCAACAACATTTGTGTTGTGGTACACATTGTTGGACTACATTATTCTTTAATTTGTCAAACTTTCAAAACAAAATTAAATATTTACTTGCCAAGTTTGAATTTTCAATTTTAACACAAATTTTATTAAAAATTAAATTCCCCTCCCCCCTAAAATAATAATAATAGTAATAATATTTTGGGCCAGGCAGTGAAATACATTTAAAGATCCTTACCAATTTTTCAATAAAATATACTACACAATTTCAACTTCATTAGTTGAATCACTTTCCATAGACGGCCGTACCGGGATGAATTTTATAAGCATATTTTTAACTTTGATTAGTTAAAATTTCTGTTCGGCAAAACAAAACGACTTTCGTTGTTCACTTCCTTCGAGTGCTTTTTTCTTAAAAGAACACTTAAAAGAATGCTAAATATATTGGGCTTCAAAGACGAAAGGATCAGATATGCATTACTCCACTAAGAAAAATTAAAAAACCGCAACCAGGAACCCAAGTAATCATAGAAAAACTACGAAACGCGGTGTGTGTTAGGGTTATATTAAAATTATTTCAAAAAAAAAAAAAGCAATCGGAAACGGTATTTCGTGCAAGCCGTGAATTCATATACTTTTTGATATTTCATACTCCCTCTGTCCTGAAATTATGGTCCAATTTGAGATTTCATTTGTAATACAATTTGAATTAGAAATGAAAACCTAAACTAAATAATAATTATGGGACGAAGGGAGTACTAATTAAAATCGGCTACTGATTTGATGAGTACCTTTTGCTTTCTGGTGGTTATCTTAAAATTAAACAATTCGGAATTCTCAACCTGCTCCCGGAAAAAGACATGCCGGCAGTAACAAAACAAGATTGCAAAATCTATGATTTCTCCAGTAATCATCCAGAGCGGGACTAAGCTAGATATAAACGCACTCCATTAATTACGAAAGAGTTGCGAAAGTATACGACATTGACGATTTTTCTTTATTTCCTTGTTTAACTTTATTGAACTAAAAAAAAAAATCAACTATGAATCAGACCCATAAAATTAAAAGCTACAAGCAAGGGCTGGTTTTGGTTTGCGAGATGTAAATTCATGCATCGGATTGGAAGAGTTTGGAATCCCCTAACATTTCGAGAATTGAAATACACGCATAAAGCAATATTAGAAGGGAGCAAGATTCACAATTTTCACGATCTAGGCGTACGTGGATCTTATATACAATAATTATAGTAATAATATCATAATATATTTGTTTTTCTTCCAAGAAAAAGGACCGTTGGGAAGAATCTTCATGAAGTCAAACACATGAACTCCAAACCCTAGTAAAGCGGCCAAATAGAAGGGAGAATTATTGAGCATGTGATTAATTTCTTATTCCTTATTCCTTATTCCTTAATTGCCTTCACTTATGAATCGACCATTTGAACTTTGAAGCAATTCCCTTTCATATAATGCATTAAGATAATCGGAGTGAATAATTAAAAGTAAAGATGATCATTAATGTTGAATGGTTCTAGTACTCAACCTTCATGTTTAATATCCTTAATTAATTAATTTGTGGACTTATGAAGTACTTTCCTTCCAGTCGATAACTTCAAAAAATTTTGAGTCCACTTCCATTGATCTGAAGTACTTCCTCCGGTCCTTATTATAAGGTATTTTGATTTCGTCCTAAGTTTCAACTAAGATATCTTTTAATTAAAAAAAAATTTAAAAACATTTCATAATAATTATGAGAACACAACAAATGTGAACATATATTTTTAAGGGCTTTTTTTACAATTAAAAAGATATTTTAGATGAAACCTATGACGAAATCAAAATGTCTTATAATAAGGACTAGAGTAAATACTATAGTACTAATACTCTAATCCCATTTCTTTTTAATTAGTACAACTTGCATTGTGCTTTTATTGTGAATGCCGTTGCTTCCCGTTGAAGTTTGACCTTAATTTGAATTGCATCGATGGAGTGTTGTTGTAATTAAAATTTAGCACCACTAATTTTTCAAGTCATGATTTCATTGGGTTTGCTGGTGTTCTTTAATTCGAAGCTGGTTTTGCTTCTTTTTTTTTCCCTAAAGAAAAATAGTGCTCATTTGTTGGTTTGTTTAGACAGACAAAACTATGAATAATTTTGATTGGCACCATATATATATTATCCCAATTGCCCAAACAGTCTGCTGTATCGAAACATTCATGCATGTTACTAGTGCGTGCATGCTATGTTATCATTCTTTTTACGTGAATTATCATGTGGTTTTAAGCGGACATAGTGTAAATAAAATAATTTTACTCATTTTTTTGGTGGATTTGAAAGAAAAGTTTCGCAACAGTTACATGTTAAGTGTTAACATACTTAACATACACTACATACATATTGAACTAGAGCCAAAACTCACGTAACGGAATGTCATCGGAGAACATTTTCTGACTAGTAATCACGTTTTAAAAGATTTGAGGCGAATTTTCTTTTTGAAAAATAATACAACTAAAGTCACTGTGGCAGAGAGGACTACTAGGGCATAGATTATCTAGGGTTCATGAATACGCTCAAAATGAAAGTCGAGTTGAGCTGTTCTAAAATTATTGTCCAATTTGAAATTTTACTAATAGTGTAATTTGAACTAAAAATGAAATTCTAAAGTGAACAATAATTTCGAGATGGAAGTAGTGTTATGGTAGGAGATTCGATGAATGTCATTTTTGCGATTATTTTTGGGCATTTGTAAATTAGTAGTATCTCTTCCTTTAATTTTGCAAAAAAAAACACTAGATCATATCACTTGCTAATATAATAATATGTCGAGCTGGGAAACGTAGCAAAAACTCTTTTTTTCATTGATCTCTGCATGCAAACAAAGAGTTGTTTAGAAGGAGAGACAAGTAATTAGACAACAGAAGCGCGCACAACGTGGATAAAGTGAAATTAAGGTGCGGAAAGAGTAATGTGGTCGATACGGACGCGTGCTTGCCAGGTACCATGTTGTTCCGGATTATCTTGGAGAAGTTAAAAGCAGATAAATTTGACTAATAAGCATTATGCATTCATTTAACGGACAAAATGACAAATGAAGAAAACTTACTATGACATCAATATTCTCCTTTCCGGTCCAGCCTTTGGAAAAAGAAATCGAGCAATCTTCCACCGAACAACCCTCAGTTTGTTCGGTTGTTTCCGTGTGTGTTTTGTTGATTAGAAAGTATTCTCTTCATCTTATAAAAATAATCTTGTGTGCATTTTTTTTAATTACGTATGTGTTTTGAAATTTATATTAAAATTGATAAAAAAAATTCTAAAATCTAATATAAACTATTTTTTTTGGGCAAAGGTAGTGTAAAAATATTTATTAGGACAATAATAAATATATTTATTTCAGAAGTATTAATTAAAAAAACCAGGGTAAAAAAACCTTGTTAGAACTAATGAGTGTTACTCATTAACCAAATGGAGCAAACGAGTGTTACTGTGCTACGATCACAGTCGACCAACATGATTTTTTTTTTTCATTTTCCAAAAATAATTAAAAATTCTTAAAACTCGTCATTGACTCTTTTTTTTTTTTTTTTTAAAAAAAAGGGGAATTACTATTCAAACTATTAATTGGGCACTGGAGGTTGAAACAATCAAGTATAAAACTTTCCCATAGAAAGTGATATATTAACGCTATTTTTATTTCCCAAGGTTCAATGGGAAGTTATACAAGCAAGAAAATGTTATTCTCTCGCACTCCAGATAATTATTGTGAGTTTAATTATGTCAAAATTATACACTTTAATCCCAAAATAATAGTTTATGTTATAATTTTTGAATTACTCTAAAAATTAAAAATCATAATGTAAACTTTTTTATGGGATAAAGGAAATAGCACATTTTGTAAATAAAAGTAGTTTGATATATTACAGTTATAATATTATATACTACTACTAAAAAATTAAAAACTAATGAAAAATTAAAAAAAGTTGCAGCAGATGGACCGTTGCTAAATAAATATCTCGTGGATCGATATATAGATAACATTGGATAATAAGTGCGGGAACCCGTTACATTCTTCTTCTCGAGTAAGGTGGGTCCATCACCATCCCACTTGGAATCCCAAAATCAATATTGCACCATTTCCAAATTTGATTTACTCGACACATTAGGGGGTTGTACCCAAATTAAGATAATAATTCTTACAACTTTAATTTGTAAACATATTAATCTATACTAACACTATATATACTAAAAATTTAAAAACTTTTTAAGTAAAAGAGTGAATAGATATCATTAACAATGTTAGTATTGAAAGGTATACCTAAAAGTCTGAAACCATTTGTATGGGAGTGAATTTGTTATGTAGCGTAGTAGTAGAATAAAGAAAGCATTCCACCGACAAGTTCCAATCTTGCTTCCGAAACTCGATTAGCCAAACGTATTATTTCACAGTTTCAAAAAAAGCTAACGTTTGGTTAAGTAACTATCACCAAAATAAATGAACCAAATCGTAGGAGCTGCATGTTTCTACATTCTGTAGCATGGATGATATTATTCTTTTTTAATATTACCTCCGTCCCCAAAAAAAATAGTCTATATTGAGTTTTTAAATTTGTATTTAAAAATAGTACAAAATGCAAAATTCAATGTGGACTATTTTTTGGGGATACGAGGAAATATAATTGATTAGAGAGAAATTTGAAACGAGGAAAGATTGTTTGTTGTTTTTGGAAGGCTGATAAACCGAACAAAAAAATCGTCCCATTGATCCATCAAGTTGCCGTGAATCCAAGCGAATGATGTTAACTTATGGTCCATGAGGAGGACTACTAAAAATAGTGTTCCACTTTTTATGATTACCCAAATTCAACGCCCGCCTCTCCCAGACAAGCACGATTAATGAAATCATTGTTCGGATCAAAAGATGAAATTTATTTTATCGTAAGCTAACAAACGGGACACTTTTAGGAGCCAAATTGCCAATTATGTTGTTAATTAAACTCCCATCTGACAAGATTTTTTGCTATAAATAGAACCCCATATCCTCCTCCCCTGTTTCAACAGTCTCTGTTTTTTCTCCCTTTCCTCCTCCTAGTCTAACCTCTGTAGTTTTCACGCGTTTCCATACATCTCTGCCATTAGTCCATCAGTGACTGGCCTGCGGAGGTGCGTGAAGCTGCCGCATTTATTCAGTCATTCACCATAACTTTCTTTTCTTCATTGGGTATTTTTCTGCTATAGAGTATAGAGACCCGCCATTGGTGAGAATCTGAACCGAGCTGCTGAATCTTTTTACTAGCATTGCACCCACTTTTGAGTTTCAAATTCATTTATTCCAACCAATTCAGTTTTCTATGATTTCCACGGAGTTGCTGTGATTTTTGTTCAACTTACAGCTATCATAGCCTTTTTGTTTTTTCTGTTTTATTTTGGGCTTCTTTCTTTAGCGGAAGAAGTACAAATTTTCAGCATCATGCATTTTTTGACTCTTTTAACACATTTCACATTTCACGTGGTTCAGTACTGGAATTTGGGGGCTCAACAATAATTGGATGTATTTACTCTGTTCAAAGTTCTAACTGTATACATTTGACCAAATGCTGTTCCATTGATTTCATTCTATCTCATTTCTACTGTTCCTTCGGTGTCAATATCATCTGATAAACCCTTGAAATTATGTGATTCCTGAAGGTCTGATTGGAGCAACAAGATGGGTAGATCTTCTTTACTGCTTTTTGGGATTGCAGTATTACTCTGCTGGGCAGCTATAGCAGAAGCAGAGTATATGGCATACAAGGATCCAAAACAACCACTCAACACCAGAATAAAGGATTTGATGAAGAGGATGACCTTAGCTGAGAAAATCGGCCAAATGACGCAAATCGATCGCACTGTTGCAACCAAAGCGGTCATGCAAAAATACATGATAGGTATAATAGTTATCAACTCAAACCCATTACAATAATAAAACTGCATTCTTGCATAAACTTTTTGATTATTCTTAGTGGGTTTTTAGGCCTTTGATCTGTGGGCATCTCTCTAATAAGTTATAATTGCAGGGAGTATCTTGAGTGGTGGAGGTAGTGTTCCTGCAAAACAGGCTTCCCCACAGACATGGGTTAACATGGTCAACGATTTCCAGAAAGGTTCATTGTCTACACGTCTGGGGATCCCCATGATTTATGGGATTGATGCTGTCCATGGTCACAATAACGTGTACAAGGCTACCATTTTTCCCCACAATGTTGGTCTTGGAGCTACCAGGTGAGCATTTAATTAGGTTTTTTTTTTTTTTTTTTTTAATTTTTGTTGTCTTGATTCCAATTTTCAATACAGCAATCTGCCTGCCAGATGTAAATTATTGTCCAGTGCTAAAGTCCGTGACAATTCATCCTATTAATTAATTAGTATCGGGTAGACTAGACTCTTTGAGGGAGGAGGAATTTACTGATTTACGAAAAGTAAAGATGATTCCTTTTTGCTCGTGTTTGTGGAAATTCATGGGCAAGACTGCATCTTTAGCCGAAATTTTTAACAAATCTGCCCCCACCATATCTGTAAATTCTTCGTTAGGTTGAGGATTGATTTGGTAATTTACAGAGGAAAGTTTTAATTTTCTTTTTTGAACAGGGATCCTGTACTTGTTAAGAAAATTGGAGCTGCAACTGCGCTTGAAGTCAGAGCTACAGGCATTCAATATGCTTTTGCACCTTGTATTGCGGTATATAATAAATTCATTCCACCAGCAATTTATATTTATTCAGCTTAAAGAATCGCAAAACTCCATTGTTTGGAGGACACAGAATGTCAATTAGGCCTCTGCTTCAACCTAATGAATACTGAATGTGGTTTTAATTTTTTTTGGGGGATGTTTCAGGTATGCAGAGACCCCAGATGGGGAAGATGTTATGAAAGTTACAGTGAGGATCCCAGCATTGTGCGGGCAATGACTGAGATCATTCCAGGATTACAAGGAGATTTACCCAATAACAAGAAAGGAATACCTTATGTTGCTGGACAGTAAGTAACTGCAGTCACTACTTGTCTAATGATCCGTTTAGTTTTATTGATTAAAAAAAATCTCTGCATCAAAAGAAAGAAAAAAAAAATCTCGTGGCCCCCATATTCTAATTACGTAGAGTAATTGGGATGTTTGTTTTAGTCTTCATCATCATTTTCTTGCCCATTCTTATCAGAAGAAACTCCAGAAGCCGTAGTCAAAGTGTCAAACGTAAATATGTTTTTAGTATTAGTAATGTTCAAGAACCGTTGTGAAAGTCTGAAACTAGTTGTGTTTTGAATTGAGGTTAAGACAAATCCACATGATGGGAAGATCTTTTTCTTTTCATTTTATCTGTAACAAACGATGGAAATTTGTCACTACCCCACTCATTTGTTTTTGTCACTAGACCATGTGGACCGGATTGAACTTAAATAACTATAATGGGCGGCTAAACCAAATCTGGATTCCATTTACTAAAAATATTGACCAAGATGACGTTATAGCTTATGCAGTTTCAACATGAACCCAGAAATGATTGCGTGATTCAGCTCAAAATATCATCACTGGCAGATTTAATTTCCTATATTTATTTATTTGTATTTTTCTTTGTGGTGGGATAGAAACAAGGTTGCTGCTTGTGCTAAGCACTACGTGGGTGATGGAGGAACAACAGAGGGAATTAATGAGAATAACACAGTGATTAACAGCCATGGATTGTTTAGCATTCACATGCCGGCCTACTATAATGCCATTATTGAGGGTGTTTCCACTGTGATGGTTTCCTATTCGAGCTGGAATGGAGTCAAGATGCATTCTAATCGAAAACTTATCACTGACTTCCTCAAGAACACACTTAACTTCAGGGTAATAAACCCAAATGCTTCTTCAACAGTTGCTGCTTTCAGTTCCATCTTTTACATTGTGGAATTTGGAATTCAACCTCCGATGATTGATTTCTTGTCTTCTTTTTTTTTCTACTTCAGGGCTTTGTCATCTCAGATTGGCAGGGTATTGACAGAATGACCTCTCCTCCTCACAAGAACTACACATGGTCGATTCTCACCGGTGTAAATGCTGGCATTGACATGGTTAGTAGCAGCTTCTAATTATTGAAAAGTGATGCCAATAGGCCTAAAAGAATGGATGTCTCATTTAACTTCTCCAATTTACTTAGTAATAATATGTTGGTGTTTTGTGTAATGCAGATCATGGTTCCATACGACTATAACGAATTCATCAATGGTCTAACCAACTTAGTGAAGCGCAACTTTGTGCCCATGAGTCGCATTGATGATGCAGTGCAGAGGATTTTGAGGGTGAAATTCACAATGGGCCTGTTTGAGCACCCGTTGGCTGATTATAGCATGACCAAATACCTTGGAGCTCCGGTAATTAACTTGGCGCAATCGTTTATTCTAACAAAAAGATGGTTTAAATAAGTTCAAAAAAGATTATCATCTGCTTGCAAGTTTTAACAATCATTTAACTTCAACAGGAACATAGGGCCCTGGCCAGAGAAGCAGTGAGGAAGTCTCTTGTACTGCTGAAAAATGGTGAATCCGCAGACAAGCCATTGTTACCACTCCCAAAGAAGGCAAAAAGCATCCTAGTTGCGGGAACTCATGCTGACAACATTGGTTATCAGTGTGGAGGCTGGACAATTGAATGGCAAGGACTAAGCGGCAACATTACCGCGGGTACCACGATCCTGAATGCTATAAGAAACACGGTCGATCACACCACAGAAGTCGTGTACAGTGAGAAGCCCGATGCTGGATTCGTCAAGTCCAAGTCCAACAAGTTCGCGTACGCCATTGTTGTGGTTGGAGAGGTACCATATGCTGAAACAAACGGAGACAGCTTGAACTTGACAATCCCTGAACCAGGGCTCAGTACCATTTCCAACGTCTGCGGTCATGTGAAATGCGTCGTCGTCCTGATCTCGGGCCGGCCGGTCGTGATCCAGCCGTATCTCAGCCAGATTAATGCACTTGTAGCTGCTTGGCTTCCGGGATCAGAAGGGCAAGGAGTTGCGGATGTTTTGTTTGGGAACCATGGTTTTACTGGCAAGCTTCCAAGGACATGGTTCAAGACTGTTGATCAGTTGCCAATGAATGTTGGGGACAAACATTATGACCCATTGTTCCCATTTGGATATGGATTAACCACAAAACCTGTTAAGGCCTAAACCAACAGCCTTTGAGTTGGAAAAAAGGCCACATTTTCGAATTGGTTTCTCCACCATATGTAGTTGCGGAAAATAATTGTTGCTAGGTGTTTTATTAACTTTTATTATTCAATATAGGAGTATATCTCTCCTCTCTTTCTTTTCAAAGATGGTTCTTGAATCTTGACTCCCTGATTTTTTTATCTCTTCCTTTTTTCATTTCATTTATTTCTTTTTCTTTCGGATTTTAGTTTTTAGACAGGTTGCTGTCTAGCGAAATATACCTCTTGGCTTCTAAACTTCTTGTTAACTCCATTTCGGCCCATGAATATCAGATGTTGGCCCGCAGGCTAAAGGCTCAGAAGCGTTTCCCGATCACCAAAATTACAAGAAGTCAAGAACTTGCTTAAAGAAAAGAATAATGATTGATTAAAAAATAATAATAATAATAATAAGAAAAAATTACAATCAAATGATATTACCCATCAATTGTTAAAACTTTTCAAATAGGGTTTATAGCTTTAAGATTAGGACATAGTTAAGATCTTGACACATCATTCCTTGTCATTTTTTCCTTGTACCTATCACTACTCTAAATGAAAAGAGAAAAAAAAGAAGGAAACCTACAATGAAATTGCAAAAACCACCTAATTATTACTTGTACTACGTAGATTTGGATGTTTAGACTTTAGACCCCTCAGTTATGTGGGCTGCATCTATTAGAAAGGCCGCTATCTCAACTGGCTTGGAAGCCCGCCGGTGCCGTTTCTGTTGGTAAAATCGCCTCCTCTGGCACACGAATTAGGGAACCATACGGTTGCCGATTGATTCCTTGTAGTGCAAGGGCTTGCCCCTAATCCCAACGCCTTTCTCATCGCCGGTTGCAGAGTGCGCGGAAGTTCTCGGGGTATGAGGACTTACATCTGCGTAGACTATCTACTGCAGCCATTTCGCCAATTTACAACATTTTCAGTTCGACCTTTTGCGACAATTTCATGGTACTCTCTACAAGAAATTCAATATTCTCATGAGCTATTTGTCTTATCCTTATGAGTCACTTCGTTAAGTAGACAAAAACGTACTACTACTTTTTTATTATTATTTACACCAAACAGCAAAATTGTACTAAAGGAGGCTTGCTACTGGCTAGAAGTTTCAATCTCGATGAGCCATCAGACTAATATATTGCTGGATTCGTTATGGAGCTACAAGTTAACTTATCACATTGATCTAGAAATATGTTGTTGATTGGGAGCAATGATGTAACATGTTACATATGGTCCATGCACACTTACACAAATGTTCATGTTTTCCTAATTCAACTCCCCAAGGCAGACAGCGGATCACACAAACAAATCAAACTCCAAATTACGAATGATATTTTTAAACTCATCTCTCACAACGTTCACAAGACAAATGATAACACTTTTCGAGTTTCGGACCGTTTTCCTATAAATGGAATTTCCCCCTGTTTTCCCAACTCACTGTATTTCTTTTAAAAGTTTCTACATTGTCACCCTCTCTCTTTCTCGTCTCTTCTTCCCCCAACCCATTGATTCCAGTAATCTTCTTTCTATTGTTTCTTTGCTGTCACTATCAATCCCCTCCTTTTTTCCTGTCTGATCAACCTCTTCTATTGTGGGTTTTTTGCAGGCCAAATTGTGTCGGTCAAGATGGCAAAAGATTCTTTACTGTTTCTTACAGTTGCAGCATTGTGCTGCTGGGCAGCCATAGCAGAAGCAGAGGGCATGGCGTACAAAGATCCAAAAAAGCCATTAAATGTAAGAATAGAGGATTTGATGAGCAGGATGACATTGGCCGACAAAATTGGTCAGATGACACAAATTGAGCGCACTGTTGCAACCAGAGCAGTTATGCATAAATACATGATAGGTATCAACTGAACCCACTTAGCTGTCATATCCCAAACCAGAATCCAGTTTGCTTGACACTTGCGATTTTTTTAGCAGAATTTTTAAGTTCTGGGAATCTGATGCAGGGAGTGTATTGAGTGGCGGAGGCAGTGTTCCTGCTAAACAAGCTTCACCAGCGGCATGGGTGGACATGGTCAATGATTTCCAGAAAGGTGCATTATCGACACGTCTTGGGATCCCAATGATTTATGGGATTGATGCCGTACATGGTCACAATAATGTCTACAAGGCTACCATTTTCCCTCACAATGTTGGTCTTGGAGCAACCAGGTGAGTAAATTCCCCCAAGTCTTTCCTGCGAAGTTCACAGAAAAGAAGGTTCATCATTTGATATTTACATACACTATGTTTAAGCTTTTCTTCTCCGGTTTGAGCAGGGATCCAGCTCTAGTGAAAAAAATTGGAGCTGCAACTGCTCTTGAAGTCAGAGCTACAGGCATTCAATATGTTTTTGCACCATGTGTTGCGGTAAATATCAATTGATTTTAGCAAGCATTTTGAGGACACTCACTCTATCAAACAGGTATCTCTGGTTCAACCATATGCTGACTTTGACACTTTTTATTTTTTTTTTGGCTTATTCAGGTATGCAGAGACCCCAGATGGGGGAGATGCTATGAGAGTTACAGTGAGGATCCCACCACTGTGGAAGAAATGACAGAGATTATATCGGGATTACAAGGAGATTTACCGAAAGATAAAGTAGCAGTACCTTATGTTGGTGGACCGTAAGTACTGCAAATACTTGAATAATGTTCCTCAGTTCTTCAATGGCAGTTTAATGATCCCCCTTCCCCTTCCCTTGCTTTATTTGTGTAGAAACAAGGTTGCGGCTTGTGCAAAGCACTATGTGGGTGATGGAGGAACGACAAAAGGCATAAATGAGAATAATACAGTGCTCACCAGCGATAGATTGTTCAGTATCCACATGCCTCCCTTTTTTGATGCAGTTATGAATGGTGTATCAACTGTGATGGTCTCCTATTCGAGCTGGAATGGTGTCAAAATGCATTCTAATCGAAAACTTATTACTGACTACCTTAAGGATAAACTTAAGTTCAGGGTATCAACCACTGTCACATGTCTCTTTTAAGTCTTAGACAACTGCTTCTTTTTCCAGTTCAATGTTTTGCATTCAGAACCAAATCTGAATATTGATTTCTCTTTTTTTTGTTTTTGGTACTTCAGGGTTTTGTCATCTCAGATATGCAGGGTATTGACAGACTGACTACTCCTCCTCACAAGAACTACACATGGTCGATTCTTACTGGTGTAAATGCTGGCATTGATATGGTCAGTAAGCTTGAATAGAAATTAATTAGTGATTCCTTAAGGCCTAAAGGACAGGATCATCATAAACTACTTTTGTCTTCGTACTAAGAACTGATGTTTTTTGTAATCCAGATTATGGTTCCATTCAACTTTACCGAATTCATCGGTGGTCTTACTTACTTAGTGAAGAACAATTTTGTACCCATGAGTCGCATTGACGATGCAGTGAAGAGAATCTTGAGGGTAAAATTCACAATGGGCCTTTTTGAGCACCCATTAGCTGATTATAGCATGGCAAAATACCTTGGAGCTCAGGTATACATTAAACTTGATACAATTGTCAATCTTAAACATTGAAGATAAGAACTCACCATTTGCTTGAATTTTGTCAGGAACATAGAAACCTGGCAAGGGAAGCAGTTAGGAAATCTCTTGTACTGCTGAAGAATGGTCACTCAGAAGATAAGCCATTGTTACCACTCCCAAAGAAAGCAAAAAGCATCTTAGTTGCAGGAACTCATGCTGATAACCTAGGAAATCAATGTGGGGGATGGACAATGGAATGGCAAGGACTCAGCGGCAATATAACCGTAGGCACCACAATCCTGGATGCTATAAGAAACACGGTCCATCACACAACAGAGATCGTGTACGACGAAAAGCCCGAAGCCGACTTTGTCCAGACAAAAGTGAACAAGTTTTCATACGCCATTGTTGTGGTTGGAGAAGTACCATATGCTGAAACAAATGGAGACAGCTTGAACCTGACAATTCCTGAACCGGGACTTAGTACCATTACTAACGTTTGTGGTCATATGAAATGTGTTGTTGTCCTGATCACCGGACGTCCGGTCGTGATCCAGCCGTATCTGAGCAAGATTCATGCGCTTGTGGCTGCTTGGCTTCCCGGTACAGAAGGCCAAGGAGTTGCCGATGTTTTGTTCGGTGATTATGGTTTCACCGGCAAGCTCCCCAGGACATGGTTCAAGACCGTTGATCAGTTGCCGATGAATGTCGGCGACCGACATTATGATCCATTATTCCCATTTGGATATGGATTAACCACAAAACCTGTTAAGGCCTAAAATTGCATCCATTGAGTTTGGATGCTAGTTAGGCCCAAAGTCCTTCGTGTTGAAACATGTAAATAAGGGCTTTGTCGGAATGTGAAAAATGGAAGGTTTCTTTCATTTTTTTTTCAACTTTTTTTCCTTACAGAGAAAATGCAAAAAATGGAATGAAAATAAGGCTCGCTAATGAAGTTGCTGATTGTAGTAATGGATGAGAATGACAAGTCAGGCACCTTTTTTTAGGACCTACCACATTAACAACATTATTTATAATGATGATGATAATTAGATCAATACATTATTGATTTGGCAAAATTATGTAATCATCATAATCCCACTTAGACATTTGTATTTGTTACATTTATATTTGTATTTGGCTCATCTAACATACTTTGACTCAGTTATGGTTCAACATAGAAACCCTCTTGATGAAAATTGAATTTCACTGTATAATTTTAATTGCAGGGTAGTAATACTCAGATGACAAAAAATTAGACATCTATTTTGATTTTTGAAAAGTCCGAATATACTTTATTTAAACGACTGATACTACTATTTAAATTTTACTTTGCTTGAATAACTAATTCATGAAAGAATTTAAAAAACCATATTATTCCATAAACATCGGGCAATTTGATGGATAATTGAAGATGGGTGCTTTCTTGTTAAATCATCATAGTTGACATGGAATAATTATACTTCCTCCGTCCTATAATTATTGTTTAGTTTAGTTTTTTATTTTATATTTAAATTATATCCAAAAATGAAATCTCAAACTGTACAATAATTTTAGGACGGCGGAAATCTACTTTCAATGTTTGGATAATAAGCCGAGATGACGAGGCCTGATCTGTATTAACTTAGGGCCCACAAAATAGTACCTCTGGCCCCATTGCAAGAGCTCATCTCTGGGTTTGGTTTCAACTTCAAACAGATTTTCCAGTAGCATTTCACTATTTCAGCCTTGCACTGAGACAGTGCTTCACGCAATCGGCAGAAGAACAAGAAGTTGCATTTTGTAATTTCTTCATTGTTTCTCACCCCTTTCTTCTGGGTCATCTTATTTTGCTAATTTCTGAATTCATCATCATCATACTAGCCAACTACCCTCGGGGGTCGGGCCTCAGGTTCTGCATATCGTGAACTGTGGCGGTGGGTTGATTGTATCCCAAATCTCAGTTTACAACTCACTGCCGTGATCAACTGTAAGTAATGCTTTTCGGGTTTACTTGGAATGAGATTTTTATTTTTCTTCTCATTGAATTTCTTCGTCATATATTATCATTATACACTGTTTAATTGGACCCAACTTGAAGAACTTTCTTCTCTCCTTACTTTCTTGTTGCATTTGCGATCTTGCATTCTATTGTGATTCAATTTTGTATCCTCTACCCTAAATTTCAATTAACCGCATAACCCATCACTTCATTTGTACTTCCGCCCCTACATTCTTTTCAGGGCTTTGTCTATTACCATGTTTTGGTTTCTGTATTCCCTTATTTCGCAAGAGTACAGGGGTTTACAGTAAGGAATTATCTCTTTTTTTTTTGTTTTAAGTTTGATTCGCAAGAGTAGAGGGGTTTAGACTTTGTAGTACATACTTTAGAACACTTGTTTTCCCGGCTGAATTGTTGCCCTTTTCATCATTCACACCTGGTATCTATTATCTGTGTCTGATTCTGCATCTGTTTACCTAATGTTAACTCGAAAATCTGTTTAAAAGTGGTATCTTAATTTGACATGTGAAGTGAGGTGCTGATGCGTAGACATGGCAAGGACTTGTGTCTTCATGATGGGAATTCTAGTCTTCTTCTGCTGCTGGATGGTGACTTCAAGGGCAGAGTATATGAAATACAAAGATCCTAAGCAGCCCGTTAATGTGAGGGTCAAGGATTTAATGAGAAGGATGACCTTGGAGGAAAAGATTGGTCAAATGTCACAAATTGATCGCAGTGTTGCATCTGCTGAAGTTGTCAGGAAGTATTATATCGGTATGAATACAACAAATTGCTTTTCGATCCTACTAGTAATGATATATGTGATGAATTCGTACAAGTACTAATTGATTTCCCGTGATATGGCTATAATATTGAAAACCATGATTGTCATATTTTTAATTCAAGTTAAGTCTATGCATTGCTGCTTGAAGTCGATCCAATATTCGGGTTGCTAAGAGTATGAGTATGACCACCTGAGTTATGCATTCTTTTTGAGCAGGCAGTGTGTTCAGCGGTGGAGAGAGTATTTTACCGAGGCACACTCCCGCAGAAACCTATATAGACATGGTGAAAGAATTCCAAAAGGGTGCATTATCGACACGTCTTTGCATACCTATAATCTATGGGATTGATGCAATTCATGGCAACAATGCTATCTATGGAGCCACGGTTTTCCCTCATAACATTGGTCTTGGAGCCACTAGGCAAGTGTCTTGTGGAAGAAGTGACCATTTTCATATTGATAATCAACCTTATCTCTGGAATAAAAAGAAAATATTGAGAATCGACCGCATGTTTGATCATTTGCCCATCTTGGTTAAGACTAGTTAGCACCAGTCATGTATGGTTCCAAAATTTGGGCCTGGCTAAGTCCTCTGTCAATGAATATTAGACTGGCCTTAAGGTTTTCTTGTCTAATACAGAAACGTGATGGATGATTGCAGTTATACTCACACCTTTTATTTATGAGAATGGATTAAAAATGTTATGTAGGCTTCTTAGAAAATTGAGGATTCCAGTGCAATAAACACAGTCAGTAAGATGCTGAACTATACCAGTAATGTTTTATCAGGGACCCTGTACTAGTCAAGAAGATAGGAGCTGCAACTGCGCTTGAAGTTAGAGCGACAGGCTTTCAGTATTCTTTTGCACCTTGCATTGCTGTAATGGATTATTCTTATTATTTATGTCGTTTCTTTTGAGTTTATACTGCATCTTATTTCTTGGTCATTTTGCTGAAAGAGACATCCTGATCAGGTTTGTCGTGATCCAAGATGGGGTCGGTGTTTTGAAAGCTACAGTGAAGATACTCAAATTGTTCGAGCAATGACAGAGATCATTCCTGGATTACAAGGAGACATCCCTGATGGTTCCCCTAATGGAGTTCCCTATACTTCTGGAAAGTAAGTCCTGTGTAAACGAATCACTTCTTACATAGAGTTAGTCAGTAGAACAGATATGCCGGCTGAATGTCTTAGGAGGGTTTCCTGTTTTTCCCATGAATCTCATATGGAACTTTTTCGTCTTTTTCAATTTAAGCATTCTGTGTGGAGAACTTCATTCCCCGAAAGAGAGTAAAGAAAACATTTTTTGTCAATGATCTTAATTAGAGCTTAAAAAATTTCATTGCTGGTAAAAATGGACACAGTTCTTGACGCTAAGTCCCCAGCAAAAGTTCCTTGCTACAATAGAGTTTAAATGCTTACACATGCCATGCGATCTATATCACTATCTCTCTGGTAATACTATCATTGTTTACTACACTTTCTTGCATTAGAGTCTATTTTCTTTCTCCTCCATTTTTTTTCCCATTCCATACAGTGAGTTGGGTTTTGAGCTACTGGAGAGTTGCTTTAAAAAGAAATTCCTGTATACTTTTTTAGCTGTAACAATCAAGAAAACTCAAAGGAACGTTTTCATTTATTTCTTCCATTTTCTTAAACTTACTTCTAGATTCATATGGATTTCATTGTTCACAGAGGTAAAGTTATAGCATGTGCAAAGCATTATGTTGGTGATGGTGGAACGACCCAAGGCATTGATCAGAACAATACTGTGACCAACTGGGAAGAGCTGCTTACTGTTCACATGCCCGCCTACAATGATTCAATCATCAAGGGGGTGTCAACTGTCATGATCTCCTATTCCAGCTGGAATGGAGTTAAAATGCATGCCAACCGTGATCTGATTACTGGATTTCTGAAAGATACTCTACATTTTCAAGTAAATATAATTACCAAAACTCTTTTGA